TATATATATATATATATATATATATATATATTTTAATAAATTCTTTTTTAAAGAAAAAAATGTTGTATTCATATAAATTTCAACTTACAATCATAATACTTTAGGTTGGAAGATGTTTCATTAATAATATTTGTTTCGGTAAATTTCACCATTTTTAAAACTAATTTTTTAACATAGTTATAACAGTTTAAAAATAATCATAACAAAAATTATATCATATATAAAAAAATATTTATAATCGTTTTATATATTTATACTACTTTGAATTTACATTTATTCAGTTTTTGTATGTTTATATACATATACCACTATATTTTATTTAACAGAATATATTTATATATATATATATATATAATCTTGATCTGGAATTTTCTTAGTATAATATTATCCTATTACTTATATATTTTTTCTTTTCCTGTACTTATAATTTCTATCTCTTATTTGCTTATTTATAATAAAATTGTTTAGAAAAATGCAAATATATATAAATTTTAAATATAAAAAAAAAATATAATAATATTATTAAATTTATTAAAAATTAATAATAATAACAATTTAGAGGAAAAAAAATTCATATCAATCTTACAATTCTTCACATTTAATGCACATTTAATTTGTTTCACGTAGTAGCGTGACATGTATTTTGTAGCTCTGAGACTGGAGCGGATTGCGAATAAAGTGACAAACGGTAGACGTTTATAAAATTTGTGTATCTGTGCATAAAAGCGTATGCGACATTCAAAATATTAAAGAACATTAGATAAAACTGTCTGTAAAACATAAAAATTGTTTAACAAATTTGATCGTTTATTCAAAAAATAACATTAATCATTTTTGAAAGAAGGTTATCCTATTTCGTTTTCATCTTCATAAAGCAGTGAAAATTTTTGAAATGGCCGGTGCAATGTTATTCGAACGTGCACAAGCAGTTTCAATGACGAATCGTAGTGAAGGTATTTCACTTTTAAATGAAATCGTCTCCGATCCAAGTATTGGTGTTACGGAAGATGACGAGGATAACATTCGTGTGAAAGAACAAGGTATTTTACATCTCGGTGAACTTTACAAGAAAGAAGGCAAAGCAAAAGAACTGGCAGAATTAATTAAAGCTACCAGACCATTTCTTAGCTTGATTAGCAAAGCAAAAGCTGCTAAACTTGTACGATCCTTAGTAGATTTTTTTTTGGATTTAGAAGCTGGTATTGGCATCGAGGTATTTTCATAAATATTTTTTATAATTTTCATATATAGTTCAGCATCAATTTTTCTTTTATTAACAGGTTCAACTATGCAAAGAATGTATAGAATGGGCAAAAGAAGAACGTAGGACATTTTTAAGGCAATCATTAGAAGCGCGTTTAATAGCATTATATTTTGATACTGGTATGTACAGTGAAGCATTACAATTGGGATCAGCTTTACTTAAAGAACTTAAAAAATTGGATGATAAACAACTCTTGGTTGAAGTACAGTTATTAGAAAGTAAAACCTATCATGCATTAAGTAATTTAGCAAAAGCAAGAGCAGCTCTTACCAGTGCTAGAACAACTGCTAATGCAATTTATTGTCCACCTAAAATGCAAGCTGCTTTAGATTTACAATCAGGAATTTTACATGCTGCCGATGAACGAGATTTTAAAACTGCATATTCTTACTTTTATGAAGCATTTGAAGGGTAAATTGTTTCTTTCAATAATATATTGTATTTGGGAACTTTTTGTTTTTCATTGTAATTACTACTTCTTTTCAGATATGATAGTGTAGAAAGTCCAAAAGCTTTAACAGCTTTAAAATATATGCTACTTTCAAAAATTATGTTACGTACACCTGAAGATGTTCAATCAATTATGTCAGGAAAATTAGCTGTTAAGTATGCAGGAAAGGATTTAGATGCAATGCGGGCAGTTGCCGAAGCTAGCCATCGACGATCATTGGCAGATTTTCAAACTGCTGTGAAAAAATATCGTGAAGAACTAGAAGATGATGTAATTGTACGTGCTCATCTCGGTTCCCTTTATGATGCAATGCTTGAACAAAATTTATGCCGTTTGGTTGAACCCTATTCACGTGTACAGGTATAATAATTTACTTTATAATATTATAGATTGATCATTTAAAATTCGTCTTTTATTCTATTTTTTCGTGTAGGTCAGTCATATTGCGACCTGTATATCACTGCCACTTACACAAGTGGAGAAGAAGCTTTCACAAATGATATTGGATAAAAAATTAAGGGGTGTTCTTGATCAGGGTGAAGGTGTTTTAATTGTTTTTGAAGACACTCCTCGCGATAAAACTTATGAGATTGCATTAGATACTATACATAGTATGGGGAAAGTCGTTGATACACTTTATCAAAAAGCAAAGAAACTTACTTAGCCTTATTTAATATATGTTTCTAAACAGCAACAGCAGTTGTAATTATTATCATCAACTATCATTTCGTGTCATTGAAAATCAAATTAATTTTTGTTTTCCAATATGTCCGTTTATTGTATAATATAAATTTTGCTCCTATCTTAGCATTACACTTGGTACTGATTCTTATTAAGTTAAAAATGTAAAATTTTGAACCTATAGTTCAAATGAAAATATCATTTCTTACGCGTATGCGTAAAAATACATTAACAATAATTACATCATAGATACACGAATCGTGATGAATAATCATGTATCAGATTTCTTTTATTGATTTAAAAGGATGATTTTTGATGTGCAAAATATGAACACAATGAATGAAATAATTCATTTTTTTATCAATTTACTTAATTTTATCCGAAATATCAAAAAATATATTCATTATTCATAAAATTGTATGTTGTTTGATTTAAAAGAATTACATTTTTTAAAATATATCTATAAAATTACGTATTCAATTACATATTATCCTTTTTCCCCTTCTATTTTTTATTTCTATGTTTCATATTATCATATATCATTATATTTGATTATTGATTTTATTTTTGATATAACTAAAATTAAAACTTTATCATTTTGAATAAATATTCTATGCCTATCAATTGTAACAAGATAGAATCATATTCTCTTAATTGTATATTTGATTATAGATTATAATAAAAACAATTTAATTAGAATTAAAAAGAATTTTTAAGAAAGTAAAAGAATGAAAATATTGTCATTCTATTGTATATCTCTCAATCCTAACATGCATATTATAATAATTATATTAGTTTTATAGCATTTCGAGTTTGAACAGAAAATAACTTCAAATAACATTTCAAATTCTGAAAAGAATATCATAATTGTTAACAATATAGATTCTGATTTGATGGCGTAGTAAGAATATTCACCACTACTTCCTGTTTGAAGTTGTACGTTACAACAAAGGGACAGTGTGGTTATATTTTATAAACTTTTTTTTTTCATGGAGTGTATAATGGCGGATACTACAGCACAGAAGGTAAAATATTTTATATTATAGTTTAAATTACAGAGAACAAGGATCAAATTAAGTAATCTATAAAATACATTTGGTATATTACAAGTAAGAACGCTTAGGTTAATGTAACGTTTAACTCACCGGCATCATTATGTTCAAAATAATATCTTTTATTTTGTCCTTAATATTTTTTAAAAAATGCATTTCTTCAGTATTTAAATATATTAATTCTTTCATTTTTTTTACATTTTTAGTAATTGGCCTTGATCACTTACATTATCTCATTGCTTACGCAAAACTATACCTGTATTATTATATCGACAATAGAATTCTCGATTTTCTTATGTGATTTTTTATGTTCGTTTAATGTTCTAATTAATACATTAATTTTTATAATAATTTAAAAATTTGTTTAAAATATTTTATTTTTGAGATAAATACATAAATTTGTAAGTAAAATACTTATAATTTCATTATATTTAAAATATATATATGTATTTTCGTATGTTTATAATTAAAACAAAATATCAACTTTCAATTGAATGTGACCATCCTCCTTAATATATTTACCTTTCAAGTTTATTTTGCAGGTTCAAGAATACAAGGACTCCTTAAAAACAAAGGTAAGCAAATGCTATTATCTTTATTCATATAATTATAAGTGATCTATTTTTGTTTCAAAGTACATTATATACATATCTATTTCATTTAGGCTGAACAACTATTATTAAAAGGATTTCCAGAAAAGATTGTTAAATTGAATGAATTATTGGAAACCCCTGGTTTTTGCAATAGAAAATTATCAGATGTTCATCAAGATTTAAATGTACCCATTCCAGATCCTATTATTCTTAATCATTCCGAAAATGATTCTACTACAAAAAAACGAAAAGTAGATAATAGTATAGATGATACCAGTGGAACCAAAGTGATGGTTTTACCAAATGGACCTGTACCTTGTAACAAGCCCTTGTGTGATCTTATTCACATAGTCAAACCTTATATTCGACAACTATTGGAAGATTCTAATTTGGTATATAATCTATGATGCAAATTATGCAAATTTTATAATCTATGATGAAAATTATGCAAATTTTAATATTTGTGCTAGTTAAATGAAAATTTTGAATTTAAATGAAAAATGTTAAATTTTGAATTTCCAGTTGAAAATGTGGATTTCATTTTTGATTCCAAAAATTGAAGATGGTAATAATTTTGGTGTGTCAGTACAAGAAGATACACTTGCTGAAATACAGTCAGTTGAAAGTGAAGCTGCTGCATTTTTTGATCAAATATCTAGGTAATGTGAATTATAATAATATTGAAATTTTCTATTTCAATGAAATAGTTAACAAAGTTTTCTATTTCGATGAAAGTCACACAAAAATATTTTGTTAGGTATTTTATCTCTAGAGGAAAGATTGTTAGTAAAGTTGCAAAATATCCACACATCAGCGATTATAGAAGAGCAGTTCAAGAATTAGATGAAAAAGAATATGTAAGCTTATGGCTAGTTATGTGTGAGGTCCGTAATCGTTATTGTTCTTT